AGGAGGAGAGGGGTTCGGGGGAACGGAGAGGGAGGACCAGTGTAAGCCCAAGACGCATCAACGAAATTGCAATAAACCCTCCCTCCAAACTTCCCTCCCTATAGGTCTCGACGAAACTAACGTCATCGCGCGAAATGCCCCATCGAAAGACAACCGTCTCAGAATCCTCAGTCGCGCCAGAACACAATTCCTTGTTTTTAACGCCGCGAATCAACTTGACTGTTGCGTTCTGAAATCGTGCTAGAACACCAGTCCTGGGACCTGAACGCTGCGAATCAGCGTGTCGGTTGCGTCCTGGCAATTTCCAATCGTGCCAGGGCACCATTCCTGCGACATCAACCCTATGGCTCCTTGAAGCTGTTGCGAGGAGCCGCAGGTCAGGCATGTGGCATCGCTGTGGCTGTGGAGGAGGAGGATGAGGAGGAGGGAGGAGGAGGTTGCGGAGGAGGAGGAGAGGGAGGAGGATGAGAAAACGGGGCGAGGTCCAAGGTTAGGTGTCGTTTCTCGTTCCTTTTTGGCCGCCCGTTCGTCTTCTCGTCGCTACGGCTGGGTTCCCTTCGAGGTTCTGGCCAAATCTCACACCGGGATGGGCCCAGAGGAGGATCACTGCAAAGGAAACGGGTCCTGGATGATAGGGGTGTTGGATTTTTCGTCGTTTTCGGCCTCCTGGGCGCTCGGGGCTCCAGGGCCGTTAAATAACTCCTCGGGATGAAAAGCCAGTCGCTAAGAAAGCACCAGGGTCCAGGGCCCGTTCCCACGAGGACCCTTTGACTTATCTCATGCCAGAGGAGGAAGGGCCCAGGAGGCGGGGATGATTGATGACGATGACCATGTCGATGATGCTGATGCTGATTGATGGTGCTGATGATTGAGGGGGAGTTGGCATCCATGTAGCCTATCGTGTGCGCATTCCTCTCGCTTCTCGTATCCAGTTTAACTCGATAGGCCTCCCGTGCGCGCCGGTGCTCACCATCATAATTAGGTAGTCCCTTGCGAGTGCAGGCCTATCGGCGACACTGCTTGTTCATATTTCTCGCTTCAGAGGCAAGCACGAGGGCTAGGAAGGGGAGCAGAGGGAAGGCACAATCGGAGAAGACATCGGCCTTTTTCGTAAGGGGATGTTTGTAGATTTGCGTATACATCTACGAGAGGTTATATATCTACACATTTGGATACATCTCCAATATCTTCGAGCCCTTGCCCCTTCCCCCCCGGGTCTCCGCCTCACCCGAGGCACCCAGACCACAGTAAGAGCCACCTGCCCGCCCGGAGGTCCCAAGAACACCCAGGATGGCGTGGTGCCCCCGAAGATGACCCGGGAGGGCTGTCCAGCGGTTCCAAGAGAGCCCACAGGGCCCAAGAGGCCCCACCATTGCCATAAGAGGAAGGCTCCAAGAGGATCTCCAGACCACCAAGATCATTCAAAGTCTGGTGGCCTTTTTGTTGTGGTTGATCTTTCTAGGTCCTGCGCTTCTCATTCAAAGAATGGCTCCCAGAGGGCCTCGGAGGAGCCACAGAGTGCGAAACATAGCCTCAAGAGAGCCCAAGAGGGTACCGAGAGGGCCGAGGACTGCCCCAAGAGGGCCCCAAGAGGGCCGAAGAGGCTCCCAGACGGCCAACACGGACCCCAAGACGGCCCACAAGTGTGCCCCAAGAGGGCTCGAGGACGGCCCCACGAGAGCCCAAGAGGACCCAAGAGGGCCAAAAGTGACCACCAGATTGCGCCAAGGGTCCTAAAGAGGGCTTTGAAAGGACCCACGTACGGGCTCACGGGGCCCCAAGACAGCCCAGAGGTGGCCCGCGCGAGAGCACCGCGACGGATGATCATGTGAAGATGGACGACGTGGAATAGGAAGGAGAGGAGGAGCCGCCCACCTGCCCACGCCCATGACTCCTTCCCCGCCGCTTCCATCCTCATCTTCGTGCTGCCCATTCCTCTTCCTCCCTCCCCCCCCGTCCCTCCTCCCTCTTCCCTGCTCCGTCCTCCCCGCCCTCCCCCCTGCCCCGCCTCCCCGCCCACTCCCCCCACCCCGCGCTCTACGCTTGGCCGATGGAGAGCCTGGGGGCGGGGGGCGGCAAGATCGGGATATGTAATCATGCGTGTGTGTACCTACACGTGTTACGGACACATGCTTGTATGCATTTTATTGTCATACCTATATATACATATATATATATATATATATATATATGCATATCTATACATATATATATATATATATGTATACAGGTATATAAGTACACATATATACATATTCACGTACATGCATGTACACGTGCACGCCTTGATCTCGTTGTCCGCCATCACCGTAACTCGAGCCGCTGCTTGTGCTTTCGGCAACGAAAGCGTTGGCCTTGAAACCCGCGCCTCCTTTGTATCCGGGCACGGTACAGCCTGAGCGCGCGCGTTGGTCCTGCACATATCTATCCCCGTGGACGGGGTCTGAGGGGTCTGAGGCCCTGGAACTGGTGTCTCGACCCTCAATGGGAATTCTGTCGGGTCTCCAGACTCTGGGAGCGTGAGTGCCTGCGACCATGTTGGGGAAGCTGCCCCCCTCCCCCCCCGAGACGTGTCCAACATGGCCAAGTTGGCGCGGAGATTGCTCCAGATAGCCCCAATTCGATCGAACATGACCCCAGTTGTGGTCTCGCATATGCCCAGAATATTTTCAGAATGCATTCTGTGCCTTTGGCAGCATCCAGCTGTGCCCCTCAAGTGTTTTCCGTCTTGTCCGTCTGCTCCTTCCTCACATTTGCTACACATTGAGGTCAAAGATCCTGTCGTAGATGCGGACGAGGAGATTCTTTTCTTCAGTGGCAGGCGGAATTCCAGCATCTGTGCCTGCAACGCTCATTGAGGGGAAGGCCGTGCATGGTTTGTTGTCATACATACCGGCTGCTGATCAAGTCGGCATGGCTTGCCGCAGTTGGATTCTGATATTGTACAAGTTCCAAGCGACAGTTTTCGCCTGCCATGCTTTTTGCCTGCATGGATGTTGCAGCCGAACGTGCACTGATACGTTATTCATTTCGAACTCTTTGCGGAGCTCGGATTTGGGAGGGCAACCTTCTTTCAATCCTATTTGTTCAATTCGAGGGTTTTCTGTAGCCATGCTGGAACTCGAAGAGACGAATAATGAGCAGGGTTCGAAAATAGCAGACCCAGAAGTGGAGGATGTGTATTCGGATTCCACCAGACAGGGCTCCTGGGAAGGCTGCTGAAGTGGTGTGAATCCTGCTGGCCCCAGCTGCAGGGTTTGACATGGCCCGGGCTTGTCCCTCGACAGAATTCTGCTGCCAGTCGCCTGCGCTGTGTTAACTTCGTAGCTGCCTCCTAGGCGCCTTGTGGTCGACTCTCAGCAGTAAAATATCCACCCTGCAGTTGCAGCTGCGCCACTCATATATTATGCGGTGGTCCGCGTGGGTTCGAGTCAGCTTTCGCCTAGTATTGTGTCAGCTTGGAGCGTCTCGCAGCCGTCTCGGGACGACAATGGGCTGTCTTGGAGCCGACCAGGGGCCGGAGCGAGCGCCTGGGAACACAACAGGTGGGAGGGGGCGCTTTCCCAATGGGTACGCATCATTGGGGGAAGATTGCCCCCAGAGAACTGCATAAGCCCTACCAGACAACTGACAGACACTCTAACACGCCACAGCGTGCCGATGGTACGGTGGCATACCAGGCTCGAAGCTCTTCGATTGCGCGGGTGGTCAGCCTCCCCAAGGAGACGGCGAGACCAACGGAGGGGAGGGGGGAGGGTAACGCCGCCGCGGCTTGCTCGGTAGGGTTTCGCTGTCGTAGCCCCCTGGGGCTCGAGCGGCGGACTGATGGGGGGACCTGTGTAAGGCGGGGCTGCCTGCTGTTATCAAGGAGCAAGAGATGGCATAAGCACGAACTCTCGGAGTTCCGCGCGGATTTCTTGGATCGGCGCTGGAGGCGCCGCCAAGGGGGCTCCAGCGCCGATCGAAGAAATCCGCGCGGACCTCAAAAAGTGTATGTTCGTGCAATTTTTGTTCCCTGAGCTCAGCCGCCACGGGAGCGGCGACACCCTGCCCACGTGAGCCGTTTTTGCTTTCTTTTCAGGCCGCCTTCCCCGACGTCCATGGAGAGCAGGCAGCGCCCGCACCGCCGCCTCCCTCGCACCTCGGAGTGCCGCTTGGCACCTGGCCTCGCGCAGCAGTGTCCCTCCGACTTGGTGTATGTCTGGGTGACAGAGATCGCCTCCCTCTTTAGCATCGGGGGTGAACAGAACCCCCAACAGTGACACGTCGAGTAGTGAATTGTCCGTTTTCGGTTCTCGAGAGGGCGCCGTGGCTGTCATTTTCCAGGCTGGCGCCCGCCAGGTTTGGGCCTCAGGTCGTTTTCACTAAACCACGTTTTGCTAAAGGGGGGTCTGTCCATCCCCGATAGAACCTCCCCACGAGGAGACTCGCACTCTGCAGCCCCGTTGCCGCACCGAATTGACTAACCGGGTTTACGCGCCGAGTTTACGTACCGAATAGACGTACCCAGTTGGTGTGCCGTTTCGAGTTGACGAACCGAGCTGACGTACAGAGTTGACGTGTCGATCGTCGCTGATGCGTGGGATCTCTAAAGAGCTGCTCCCCCAGACAAGCCCAACCTCCGAGCCTTCCCGTTTTGCTCCCCCTGTCCTTCAGGGGCCTAAGAAGGGCAAGGCTGCCAAAGCCGACGCCAAGGAGGCGGGCAAGCGCAAGGCGCCCGCGGAGGCGGCAGGAGCCGCCGCCCCCCTCGGAGCAGTGCTGGCTGCCAGGCGACTGCCGGCCATTCGTCCCGCTGGTCTTAGATTCGTGCCGGGCGCGTGCCGTGCCGTGCCGCGCAGTGCCTTGGTCCACGAGAGTGCGAGGGATGTGCTGTGCCGTGCCCGCGTGCCGTGCCGTGCTGAGCTTCGTGCCTAGGTTCTAGAATGCGAGAAAGTGTGCCGCGCCGTGCAGTGCTTAGATTCTAGAATGAGAAAACCGTGCCGTGCCGTGCTCAGGTCTCAGCATGCGGGAAACGTGCTGTGCCGTGCCGTCTCTAGATTCCAGGCGTGCGAAAAGCGTGTCGTGCCGTTCCCGCTTGCTGTACCGTGCCGTACCTGGAGTCTAGAATGCGAATGAACGTGCCGTGCCGTGCCGTGCCGGGCCCGCCTGCCTGCCGTGCCCAGAGTTTGCAGTGCTGAGAGTGTGCCGTGCCGCGCCTCACCTATACAATGCGACAAGCGTGTCGTGCCGTGCCAAGCCGTGTCCGCGCGCCATGCCGAGCCGTGACGTGCTCGGCTTCCTGTGGCACTGACCATCCACACCGTGCACGCCCCCTTTGATGTTGACTCACCGTCTCTGTTCCCTCGATTTGCACGGTGAAGCGATGGTGAGAAGGGGGAAGGGGGAGATACAGCGTGAGAGGGAGAGGGGAGCGCAGAGCGAAAGAGTACGACAAAGGGGCAGGGATGCAGACGGAGATGGAACCGCCTACTCGAAGAGAAGTTTCTGGCTACACGTGGGGAAGTGGGTGTTGCAAGTCTAAGGATGAGGATGCGGATGGGGAGGGGGAGACGACTGAACCGGAATAGCTGTGGAAGATCTGCGACTGAAGGTGGGCGCGGAGGGGGAGGAGCCAGAGGGTGAGGAGGAGGAGGCGGAGGAGGAGGAGGAGCAGGAGGAGGAGGAGGAGGAGGACGATGAACGGGCAGAGGAGTGGAAGATCTGTGTGTCGAGGTAAGTGCGGAGGGGGATGGGAAGGGGATCAGCATGCCTGCGGCCAAATGGGGCGGCCGTTGCTGGCACCAGCAGGGATGGGCGTGGACCTCTGCACGTGAGGGCGGCTGGCAATGAGAACCCCTGACCTCCAGGCGTCGCGAGCAGAAAGTCGGCGGACGTCTTTTCTGATACCCCTGGCGTCAGGGGCCGCGATCGGGCACCAAGGCCATCAACAAAAACGACCATCGAAGGAAGACCGGTCCCGGGCTTGGGGTCGAGAGCCATCGCTGTCTCGGCCTCCTGGGGGCCGTTTCCGCGCCCCAGGGCCATCAACAAGGATGGACCGCGACGGAAGGATGGCCTGTGCCCGGGGGGGGATGGGGTCGAGAGCTCCCTGGGCCCGCGCCGTGAGAAAGGCACGGCGTTGGAGGTGGTAAGGCTCGCTGCCGCCCCAGGTCCTGACCCCCGGGAGGCGCCCTGGAGGTCCCGCCGAGGCCCTGGAAGGCCCGAAGAGGGCCAAGGGCGTCCGAAAGCCCACCGAGCACCGAGCCCAAGCCCTCCCTCCTCCATCCTCGAGGAGTCCAGCATCGAGCAGGGCCCCCGCTCAGAACGCTTCGGCCCGTTTCCCCTGTTTCCCCGTAGCTTCCCCCCTCCCTTTGCTCAAGCATGCCCGACGGCGCTTTTCGAGAGGCAGCGCCAGGGGCACCAGGCTTGCCTCGCGTTGGCGCGTGGAGCAGAGTAGTGAACGATGCCCGAGGGGTGTCGAGAGCGATGCCTGCCGGTCCGAGGCCTGCTCCCTCCTCCCTTCCTCCTCCCTAACTCCTTCCTAACTCCTTCCTCCTCCTTCCTCCTCCTCCTCCTTTCTCCTCCTTCCTCCTCCTTCCTCCTTCCTCCTCCTCCTCCTTCCTCCTCCTTCCTAACTCCCTCCTCCTTCCTCCTCCTCCTTCCTCCTCCTTCCTCCTCCCTAACTCCTTCCTCCTTCTTCCTTGCCCCTGTACGTAGCTATTTTAGCTCATGGCTCTGGCACGAGTCTCTTCAATTCCCGTTGGGGTCCTGCCCTCTTGGTGGACGAGGCGGGCGAACGCCTTCTCGCAATTTCTTACATTCAGTCTCAGAGCCTGGCGCGCCAGCCGTGCTCGGCGGCCAGGTCCTGCTCTTGTCCGGGCATTCTTTTGTAAATGCGTGCGAAGATGCCTCGCTTCCGATCGATATGCGCCCTCAACTTTCTCCAGGTTCCTTTTTCCAAGCCATAAAAGTCAAAGATCGGCGCAATAATAACAAACCAGAACAGATGGACTTCTCATCTGTGGCACCGCCGATCTGCAGCTCTTGCCATAATAGATTTTGGCCTGTCATGGAAGCATCACTGGTTTGTATCATCGTTTGCAATGTAAACCTTCAGATTTGCAGTGCGCGAGAAGTGCGAGGTTCTGCAAACTAGGCAAACAGCTTCTCTGTAAGGCATGCTGGGTTTGCAACTCCGCTCCGGCAGAACATGCTTCTTGAACCCAGTGGTTTGCCAGGCGTGCCCTCGTGTTTTCACGTGTCTGCAGTAATTCTTCTGGGCAGGGGTCAACTGCCGCATCTTGCAGCCAGGCTTCCAAATTTCTTTCCTGGACGGGGTTGTTGCCTCTCCCCAGAGGGACTCCCCTGTGCGCTACAGCTCCTCTTAATCGTTGGCACGCTGTCACTGCTTGGAATAGTCATTGGACGCCGTGCCTTACTGTGATTTCAGTTTAGAGGCCCAAGCCTGCGCATCCAGTCAGGGGCAGCATCTCCGCACTCTTCTCCCTGGGGTTCCCCTTCGTCTCTGTCCTTCCAGTTGTCGTCGTTATTCTTGCCCTAGGCTGGCAACATTGCGCGCCTACTGCAAATGGTACTGCTGCGTTGCGTGCCGTCACTCTTCCCCAGCTCGACACTGGACACTGGGTGACTATGGGGGTACTAGTGTTTGTAGAGGTTCTGTTTGGAGGGGGGGGTGGATAAGTCCTCTCTGTCGCGTTGGCTATTGCACATGGTTTGGTGGGTTGCTTTGTTATGATCAGAGGCCTCCAACAGGTTATCTGGTTTTGCCCTAGACTCATGTGTTCGCTCCAGGCCGTCAGCGTTTGCCAGTAGTGCAAGCTCGCCTTTTCCATGACCTCCCTCCACCTCCCCCTCTCCAGCGTCCAGTCGTTCAGAGGCCCCAAGTATGGGTCGAGACTCTGCACTTTGCACAGGTGTGCGTTCTAAGCCGTCTGCGCTTGCCAGAATTTGCAGAATGTTGCGTCCCCAAGCTTCGGTTTTGCATCTGAGTTGGGTGAGTTAAACAGTTGCTGCTGTGTGCGAATCTCAGATTGCTCGCGATTTCTTTGCCTCGTCGGCCCCTTAGCCTATGCCTCCCCCTTGCCTCCAGTAATCCCCCTTCCTGCTGCGAATTCCCGGGTGCAGGCTGACTTGCGTTGATGGTTCTCGGCTTCAGTTCGCAACCAGTAATTGGAGGTGGGTTGAGGTTCTTAGCGTTCTCAGTGTTGGTGGGGGAAGTCCCTTCGTATGTCATGCCGTCTTCGACGGCGTCGAGGAGCCTTCGGAGGGCTGTGCTTATTACTCTCCAGCGCCTCTCTTGCCTCGCCCCTCCTATCCCCCCGCGCCCGCCGCCGCCTGACCGACGTCGGGTCTGTGCACGACGTGTGCCGCAGCTTCATGGAGGTTGTGGGTGTGTGGGTGGGTGGGTGGGTAGGGGGCACGTTCAGTCAGATCGAGAGCTCTGGACTCTTTCATGTCTCCCTGGGTTCAGGTCCCAGGGGGAACTTGATCCCGCTTAGCAGGCGCCCTGGGCTGTGGGTCTCATCAGGGCCTCACCCCCCCGGCAGCTGCTCGCGCGCGGGCACTTCCGTGCACAGCCGATCCGATCAGGTCCTCCTTCCTCCTTCCTCCTCCCTCCTCCCTCCTCCTGCCTCCTCACTCTCCCTTCTTCCTCCTCCTCCTCCATCTTTCCTCCTCCTGGCTTCTCCTCCCCCCTCCTCCTTCCTCCTTCCTATTCCTCCTCCTCCTCCTCCTCGTCCTTCTCCTCTTCCTCCTCCATTCTTCGGCCTTGCAACTAATTCCCCTTTTCGTATTCCGAGGCCAGTCGGAAGGGCGGCCCGTGCGTTTTGCTTGAGGCTTCCTTACCACTTATAACCCTGAGGATTTAAAATTGGCAACAGTTTCACAGATGGAGGGCGGGTCGCTTCCAAAATATGGTTCTCGCTTTAGCGCCGCGCTCATTCGTTTTACAACTTTGCAAGCGTTTCACGGGTTCAGGGCTGTTCCTTTTCAAGATGTGACTCTCGCCTCAGCGCCGCGCGCTCTCGTTCTGAAGAGTTTCAAGAGTACCACGGGTTCACATGGTTAACGTACCATAAATGGTGTTTTGGAACGATTCAGGGTTGTCAGGGCGCAACAGTTACGTTGATTCGCGGCGTTCGGGTCCCAAGAACGGTGTTCTGGTGCGATTCAGGATCGTCACGGCGCAACAATCAGGTTGATTCGTGGATTTGAAATCCCAAGCATGATGTCTTGGCGCGCTTCAGGATCTTCAAACGGTTGTCTCCCGACGGGAAACTTCCGTCAGTGGAAATGAATTCTTGTAGGGGCCTGTGAATAGGGAGCTTGGATGGAATGTTTTATTCAGATGTCGTTGATGAGTCTTGGGTATACACGGGTCCTGCTCCTCCTCCCCCCCTTCAGCCATTTCGGCTCCATCATGGGGTTAGGCTCACCTGCTGGAGTTTGGGAGCAGCGCAGTATTCGAAGTGGCATTGTTCTCACGAGTGACAACATGAGCAATGGCACGTGGGACTGTGCCGCGTGGAGCGCCAAAGGATGCTATCGCAACCACACGAGGTGCTGGAATTGCTGGGCATGGGGAACGGGCGAAGGCGGCCGGCAGCGCAGCCGCCCCAGCCACAGCCGCAAGGATAATGACCAGCAGCGAGGGCCAGAGGCTGACGCCCGAGAGGAGGCGAACAAGAAGCTGGCGGCTCTGCGGAGCCGCGTGCGCGACCTGCGCGCGCAGGCCGCCGAGGAGGGCATGGAGCTCCTCGGCGGGGCAGCGGACCGAGTGCAGGAGGAGGTCCGCCGCTTGGAGACCCAGATGGAGCAGAGTGCACCGCCGTGTTTCACTCAGGCGCAAGTGGAGCGAGAGCGCCGCAAGGCGGAGACGGCCAGGGATCGCATCAACAAGCGGATCGAGGCCTTCAACGCCAAGGCAGAGGACATACAGAAGGAGTTGATGGCTGAGAAGGCCAAGCTCGAGAAGAAGGATGCGCCGATCCAACAGCTGGAGGCTAAGAGGTCGCAACTGAAGCAGCACGCGGTGCCTACCGACGCGGAGGGCCGTTGGGGCACCGCGGCGCACCACCTGGAGCAGGCGGAGGCGCTGCTGCAGGAGCGCGCGAAGGAGACTGCCGACACGGACCTCGAGGCCAAGCATAAGTACATCAGGGCGGCCCCCGCGAAGGTCAAGAAGAGGCAGCAGGCAGTCGCGGAGGGGATGGAGAAGACCAGTGCCGAGGCCGAAGCCCAGCGCTCGCGCCCCCTTTCGCGCAAGCGCGGGGCTGACTCGAGCTCCAGCCTGGTCGCCATCCCCGCCAGGGCATCGCCAGAGCAGGTCAAGCAGCTCTTCAGCAATAGCTGCAAGGCCGAGCAGGCCGAGAGGCGCGCGGCCGCCATGGCTTCTGTGGTGGGCGATCTGAAAGATGTCTGCTTCCTGGAGCTGCGCGTGCCGTCATCCTGACGGCGGGCAGCCGCGCAGGCAGCGCGTCGTGACGGCCAACGCAAACACGGCCGAGTCCCTGGAGCGCGTGCTGGGGCTCGCGAGTACCACGGCCGTGGTGCTTGGCCAGGAGCTGTCCATGGGCGTGGCCGACTCGGGGGGGAGGTCGCAGCGCATAGCACGAAGGGGTTGGGAGACTGCAGTGGTGCCCAGCGCGCGCGCGCCGCGGACGGGGGGTGGGGCGCGGGCGCGGCCATCGCGGTGCCCAAGCACATCGCCGTGAGCTTCTCGGGTGGGAACTTGCGGAGCTCCTGGGGCGCGTCGCCCCCCGAGAGCCCTGGCCGCCTGGCGGTGGCGTGGGCGGGCATCGGCGAGAGCGGCGGCATCATCATGGGCTCGTGCTACCTCGGGCACTCGGAGGGCCCCGCGCCCAGGAACCTGGCGGTGCTGGCGGCCTTCGGCGCGCTGGTGGACGCCGCGGGCATGCAGTGGGTCATGGGGGGCGACCTCGACATGGACCCAGAGCAGCTGTGCCAGAGCGGGGTCATCGACCGACTGAAAGGGGTCATCATCCGACCGAGCGAGGCACGTGCAAGGTGGCGAAGAGGGATGCCATCACCCGCGACTACATCTTCGCGTCGAGGAGGCTGGCGCAGACGGATCACGCGACGGTGGAGAAGGACCTGGTCCTGAGCGCCAGATGCAGCCCGCACTTCCGCGTGTCGTGTTTGCTGGGCAAGAGTGCCCCATAATGCAAGGTGAAGCAGCTGGCCAAGCTCGCGCGCTGGCCGCTGGGCATGCCGCGGGGATGCGCGGCAGCCCCCGCCGAGTGGCCCGTCGGCCCCGACCTCGAGGGCAACTCCGGGCAGCAGGAGATCGACGAGCTGCAACCTGAACTGCTGCCGCGGCTTCGCGGGCGGCGACCTGGCGCGGAGGCAAGGCCACTTCCAGACGGAGCAGTTCTCGGAGGTCACGCTGGCGCCAGCGCGCAAGCCGCCGAGAGGCGCCCCGACCAAGAGGGCTGCCACTGCGGAGTGGCTGAGAGACAGACTGCAGGAGCTGGCGCGCTTGGCCGCTGGCGCAGGCGGGGAGCAGGCCAGCTCCTGCCACGGGTGGCAAAAACAGCTCAGGCTAAACAAGGCATGCCAGGAGGTCATCGACGTGGACCTCCTGCCGCTGACGGCCGCCGAGGAGGATGCGAGTGGATGTGGAGGGATTCCTGCAAATGGGGGCCCGAAGCCAGCGCGCGCAGTTTCGGCTCCGAGACCGAGGGCGCGGCGCGACGGCCCCGCGGCGGGCGACTGGCAGAATGTGGAGTGGGCGATCACCAACTTCGGGGGCGCCAGCGGCGCGCTCATGGACGGGGCGCCGTACGTGGGATACTGGGCGCTCATGGCTGGCGAGGCAGCCGAGCAGGAGCGCAGGGCAGCCCTCGCCAGGGCGACGAAGGAGTGGAGGCAGTGGGTGCAGGTGCGCGCGGTGGGCGGAGTTGGCCCGCTGCGCAAGTGAACCAAGCCGTCGACGTCGTGGGTGCCGACCGGGCCGCCGCCCTCGTCGCCGGCGGCGCCGCGTTGCGGCGACCCCCTGCGCTCAGCGGACAAGGTCCTGAAGGGCTGGGGGGAGGTCTGGCACAGTTCTGCGGGGGGCCGCGCGCCCTGGCAGGAGCGCCCGCCGCCTCGCGAGCCGACGCAGGCGCCGCTGGTCCCCGCCAAGGTATGCCAGCACTGCGTGGGCTTCAAGAGGTAGACGGGCTTGGGCGCGGGGTAGTGGCACCTGCGCCCGTGGGCCGCGGGGGGCGCTGAGGGCATCCAGCGCGTCGTTGACATGCTCGGCGCGGTCGAGGACGGCGCGCCATGGCCGCCCAGACAGTCGGACATGCTGTTCTACGACGGACGGAAGCCGGAGGGCGGGGTCATGAGATGTCTAGGCCTACTGCCAGAGGTGGTCAGGCTATGGGGGAAGCGCAGGCGGCCCATCATTGCCAAATGGGAGGCCTGCCACAGTAGAGATTGCGACTGGTCACGCGCTGGACGTAGTTGCGAGCGCGGCGCCTAGGTGCCGCAGCTCTTCTGCCAGGCAGCCGCGGCCGACAGCGAGGGCTACGTTATCGCCCTGCTGGGCCAGGTCAAATGCTTCGAATATGCGAGCCGCTAGAAGGTCTGGGAGGCTGGCCAGTTCTGGGGGCTCCCTGCGTGCCTGCGGCGCGTGATCCCCCGCGTCTACGGGGTGGCCGGGGGGGCGGTGCTGGGGGGCGCGGTCGCCAAGGGCAGTCGCTGGTGGCAGGGCCTCGTGGCGGGCTCCGTCTTCGCGCCAGTCGCCTTCAAGTGGGTGCTGATGAAGGAGCTCGACGCAGCCCAGCTGGACAGCAGCCTCGCGGAACTGCGCCTGTTCTTCGATGGCCTGTCGATCGCGCGCGTTGGGTTGCAGCTGGGCGCGCGAGAATGGTCGGCATCGTCGTCGACGGCCTGGAGAAAGAGCTCGAGGTGCCAGTCTCCCCGGGCGAGAAGGGGAACCGGTGCTGCTGGCGTCGCCCGCAGCCCTGGCCAAAGGCATGGGGCCCACGACCAAGAGGATCGGGATCAGGTTAGTGAGCCAAGCCGAGCATCTGGGCATTGCTGTCTGCGCAGGCCGTCGCCGCCGAGTGTCCGCTGTACAAGACAGGGCGCTGACATGGAAGAGCCGTGGGGAAAAAGTTGAGAGAGTGGAAAGGGGCTGGCGGCCAAGCGAACAAGCTGGTCACGGCAGCAGCAGTGCCCTCCATCCCCTATGGCGCGAGAGTGGTAGGAGCGTCTGCGTCAACAGTGCAGCAGCTGCGCTGGGCCGTCGCGAGTTCTTTTGGCGGCGGCGTGGCAGGGCGGTCAGCGGCGCTTGCTTTGCTGAGCGAGGGCGTGGGCCCCGCGCGTGCTGCCGACGCAGGCCCCGTCGTGGAGTGGGCCGGCGCTTGGAAGGGAACAGTCCACGACCCAGCGCTAGCGGACCGACTCGCGGCCGCTTGGAAGCGCGTGAGCATTCGCGTGGTGCAGCCCCCGCGGCCACGGGGATTGGCCCGAGGCCCCGCGGGGGCATTTCTGGCCACTTCTCGCAGGCTCGGCTGGCAATCGCGGGCGCCTTTCTCGCTCGCCATAGGCGCGGTCAGTGCTGATTTGCGCCTGGCCGACGCGTGGTGGCTACGCGAGCAGGTTGCGCAAGCATGTGAGCAGCAGCTCCAGTGAGAGTGGACTCGGCGCTGGGGCGCGGGCGCAGGTGCTGCCGGGATGTCTATCGAGAGTGCGGGCCCTCTTGGCCAGACCAGTGTCAGAAGCTTGGGGGGCGGATCTTCGCATTGGGGCGCGTGCGATCTTTGCTGCTGCCCAGCGCGACAGAGCGCGAGGCAGCAAGCAGGCCGCCAACAAGTGCAGCAGCGTGGGGCCACCAGCGTACCCACTCCTGCCAGCGAGCACCGCTGGGGTCGAGGCATCGTGCAGGACCCCGGCAAAACGTTCCCATACATAGGGATCTCGGACCGAGCCGCGCTGATAGGCGCAGCCCCAGACATCCGCACGGGTGACGTCTGCGTGGGCGGCTCACAGTTGCGCGGCAGGCACGGCCCCATCAGACGCGCGGGGTGGTGCTATGCGCAAGTCGCTGACAGCGGAGCATAGCTCTTCGCCATGCATGGGCCGCTGCCGCGGCCACAAGCGGAGCAGTCAATTTTCTGTGCTGATTTGCGCGCAGCATGCACGGATTTGCAAGCTGGGATGGTGCCGCTCAGAACCTGGTCGGACTGCCAGAACGTTGTAGACGGCTTTGCTCGCGGGATGGAATGGTGCACTCGCTGCTCGAACACGCATGCCAGCCAATGGAGATGGGCCTGGCACTTTGTCGAGGAGCTAGGCGATTTGGGCGCGCAGGCTGTCCACGCAGGAAATTAAAGGCCCATGGCTCTGTGGCCACTTCCAGGGCAACAGGGCGGCCGATAGGGGAGCCAAGCTACGAGCAGCTTCTCTAGTGTACCCCGAATGGCACGTCGAGAAATTCGAATGTGAGTTTAAGCTAGTCCAAAGTATCTTGCAATTTAATGGCAAAATCCTAGCATCGTCGTCTGATGTAGTAGACACGTTAAAGGACGGGTCGCTGCAGGCCTCGAGTATCGTGGAGCGTCGTGGGGGGGTACTGGGGTCGTGGAGCGTCGTGGGGGGGTCGGGGAAGCTGACGGGACCTCTCAGGAGGCTGGGCGCCCCCTGGCCAGGCCTGGAAAGCCTCTAGAGGGAACGGGCCCCGACGAGGCCCTCCGAGTCGAGCTGGTGCGAAGAAGCCGTCACCAGCTCGTGACTCGGCAAGGCTATGCTTTTGGCCGATTGTGGGATTGCTACGCTCAGAAGCGATGGCAGAATCTCAGCAACAGCGAGTGCAAGGGTCATAGTGAAAATGCGCAGGTTCGCTTGAATCGTCTGTGGAAAGGGCCAGCATCCGACCACGGGTAGGCCCATGATGTAGTCCCCCCTGGGCCTCGCCAGGTCCTTTCTACACGGTAGAGGTCGGATTTGGTAAGATGTTTAATCCTGTTTAATCCTCCTCCTCCTCCTCCACCTCCTCCTCCTCCTCCTCCTCCTCCTCCTCCTCCTCCTCCTCCTCCTCCTCCTCCTCCTCCTCTTCCTCCTCCTCCTCCTCCTCCTCCTCCTCCTCCTCCTCCTCCTCCTCCTCCTCCTCCTCCTCCTCCTCCTCCTCCTCCTCCTTCCTCCTCCCACTCCTCCTCCTCCTCCTCCTCCTCCTCCTCCTCCTCCTCCTCCTCCCCCCCGTCCTCGCGCGAGTGGGGGCCAGGAAGGGGATGACGTCCGCAGCAGGCACGCCGGCGGCGCCATGGCCCTCGACAGGGACAGCGTGCAGCGGCCATTGGGTGCAAAACCACCACGACAGGCATCGACGGTCAATTGCTTCTATTCCGGTTCCAGTGGATTTTTGAAACCAAGACTTGACAACCCATCAGTCCTCCTCCTCCTCCTCCTCGTCGTCGTCCTCCTCCTCCTCCTCCCGCGAGCCCTCTTGTGGGCAGCCGACGGTGTCGGCTGCCTTGGCCGCTGAAAGGGACGAGGCGGGCGGTCTCGGTTGTCGGAGCGGCTCGGCGCCGCTCTCGTCCCCACTGGCGCTTGATGCGGTTTGCGAAAACTGGATGTCAGGATCGGAATGTTCGAGTTCTACGCGACGCTTTTTGTATATGACAAACCTGGGAGGTTGGGGTCCTGCTACGCGATCTGTCCCTCTTCCCCCCCTCCCTCCCTCCTTCCCCATCCTCCTCATTTCTTCTCTCCCCCTCCCTTCCCCCGTGGCCGCCCCGCCGTATTTCGGTACGATCGAAATGCGAACGGACAGAACCGGCACGGAAACCGCAGGCGATCTCTCGGGCCCAATCCCCGATGTTTGCCCGACAAATCAGGCCGTTCAGATAGGGAAGGGAATCCGGGCATGCACCCCCAGGGGGCCATTTGGACGCACCCCTATCGAGGCTGATCGCCCCCCATCATATATCCCCGAGTTGGGCCCCAAATTTTTGTGTCCAGTCGAAAATTCCACAACGCCAGGGATGCGGGTCGCCAGACCCCCCCCCCTGAGAAGGCCAACGGCAGTTCCCGTCCATTTCGAACAGGATTCGCTGTCGGTGTTACCGCGGGCGTGGCCCATTTGAAACGAATTCGCCTGCCCAATTGCGACCGCTGTCGGTTCTTGGATACCAGTTGGAGTTGGGCATCATGTCCATGTTCTTCGTGCCTTGTCGGGTGTGCCAATCTGCGCCACCGTGGCGGGTACCCAGTAATCCCTCAGATCCTGGCGTTTCTTCTGTTGTGTCCGCATCCTGCGTTTTCGCTCACTTCCCGGCCCGGGGGTTCTCACATATCGATTCGGCTGGAGAAATGCCGGAGGCAGTTGGGGTCTAGGGATGTTGTTGTTTTCGGGTCGTCGGATTGACAGGATGGTCTGGTGCCAGGGCCATTTTCGGGCCTCAGGATTGTCAAAAACAGCTTAGGATGAAAAACTGGACATGGGGAGGGGTCGAAAAGTCAAGGGGCTCATGTGTCGAACAAATCGCGCCGCTGGACCTCTGGGCCTCCCTGGAGCAGGTGGGGTCGGAGGATCGCGCCACATCGCGAATGCATCGGTGATGCGGCGCGATTTGGACTTTGATTTTCTCCGTCGCGACGTCGCGGGTGCACGGGAGAGTTCTCCCTTGACGCCAGTCCACGGGCCAATGCCGGCTTGCAGCTGGTCAAATTCTAGTGACAGCGAAACGATGTGGGTTTGCACGACATAGCATACGCCACGTAGCTTACACCACGCGAAGCCCAGCCCGGGTAGATTAGCATCAGGCACAGTGTAAGGATGTCTCCACCGAAACCGCGCCCAAACCAGGCCATACCAGGCAATCAGTAGGGGCGTTTCAGGCGAAACCGCGCCTAAACCAGGCCCAACCAGGCGAATCGTGAGGAACTGTCAGGCCACACCGCGCCCAAACGAGGCCTAACCAGGCACATCCTGAGGACTTCTCAGGCGAAACCGCGTCCAAGCTAAGCCCAAACAGCCCAATCCAGGCAAGTGGCGAGAGCGTCTCAGGCGAAACCGGCCCGAAATAAGGCCAACCTGGGGCCCAAATCAGGGAAGCTCTGAGGATGTCTCAGGCGGGGCGCCCTGCCGAGCTAGGCCAGACCAAGCCAAACCAGGCCACTCTAAGGGCCAAGCCATGCAAATTTCGAGGATGTCTCGAGCGAAACGACCAAACCGGGATCCATCCACTTGCCCGCTTGATTACATTTGAAGAGAAGAGTGGATGACCCAAGGGGGTTCCTCCGCAGGGTGCTCTTTTTAATGATAATTTTGTCGGGGGGGGTGGCTGGGGCGCAGCAGCATGCATTTGTCTGTCGGTTGATGTTGTTCCGGCATCGTTGTGGCGTTCGGGGAAGTACAGAAACCAGGTGCTTTTCGTCAGAGTGCCCTTGGTTTCTTTGCTCTGCGCGCTGCGCGGTGACTTCCCGCGGCCGTTGAAGCTGCTGCGTTCAGGGTGCTCCGGGTTCCCCGCCGTGTGTGTCGTGTGCATCTCGC